CCCCCTTGGTGGAACCTCCAGATGAAAAGTTTTTGTGTCTCAATAAACCTCTCTGCAGATGCAATAATCCAAATCAGACCAAGTCAAACCAAATTAGAAAAAGATTTAATGGATACCAATGCTCCCAGGTGGCCTTCCAGCTCCCCAGAGAGGAAAGAGGGAAGGAAGACCAGAAAACCACACTTTTGTTCTCTGGGGGGAGGGGGGGCACACGACAGTTTATAGCCTGTGGGAGTGGTCTTGAGCATCTCTGGGGAGTGGTCATCATTTGGCAGGCTTTCTTGGAGGCGGAGTCTGGACTGAGACAACTCCCAGAGGACGGGGAGGGGGGGCGTTTGGGATGGAGCCTTCCACCCAAACACTTACAAGTTTTGAATACTCGGCCAAGTTTAGGTATGTTTCTGCCTAGCTCTTTCAATTTAAATTAATCTGTTTCCCTTTATCTACCTTTTGCCTTGGACTTTTTGTCTTTCTTACTTCTGTATATCTTACACTGCTTCTCTATGTCTGGCTTCTGGCCCCAGGCGTCTTCCTCATTCTCTGCTCCGTTCTTCTTCTCCCCAGCCTAGATTTCACCTCCTATTTATTCTCTCTGCCTGGCAGCGCCGCTATTGGTTGTTCAGCTTTTTATTAGACTAATTAGGTCCCTTAGTCAGGCAAGGTGAAACAAACACAACACTGCTTTACATAATTACTATAAACACACCTTTACCTAGTTAAAGTAATATTCTGCAGCATGAACAAATGTAACACATCTTTGCCTAGTTAAAATAATGTTCACAACAGGGGATCCCAGACTTAATATCCAAGATTTAGTGGCGAGCAGAGGGGCTTCTGGCAAGAGTACGTAGACAGGAAAGTCAACCACGGGTGGTGTTATCTACAGTTTTGGAGAGGTGGGCTCAGGGGCAAAGGTCAGTCTTAGGAAATGTTTATGTATTTTGGAAGTGTAAGAATGGAAAAGTTTGTATGGATCTATAACGGGAAGGCTGGGGCTGAAAGGGGGAGTGTTTCTGAGCTTAAAGAATTATTTATGAATGGGAGGGAGAGGCTCATGGGGGCAGGGCAGAAGCATATTGGAATCGACGGTGTGCTAGGATTATTTAGGGATCCATGAGCAGAGGAAATTGGCCATGAGGGCAGAGATAAGGAGCAGAGATGGGCAAGGTGATCTAAAGTGAGGTGTCTATGGGTTGGGGTAAGAGGCAAAATTTATGCCAATTCTGGAGAGGACATCCTTTCCTAGTGAGGGAATGGGGCATGAGGGAATGAGGAGAAAAAGCCCTGAAAGGAGCAAGTTAAGGGAGGGGCCTGGAGGACTTGTTTTCTGACGATGGGTGAGGGAGAGGAGGGAAAGAAACCTGAAACAACTTTCCATAGTCCTTAAACCACTTCATTGGACCCATAATGGCTCACTCAGACTTTGTGACTTAAACTTTCTGATCTTCAGACCTGAGCACATACGATCATAACCTAGGCCTATCTTAGACCTGCATGCCTTGTATCACTCTGTTTCCTTGGCCTACATAACTTACTTGTCCACGTGTCATAACCTTTAGAAAGTTTATAGTTTTGTTAGTGTGAAGCCTGTCAGCAAGGTGAACTGAGCAGGCAGTGGGCTGTTCGCTGTGGTTAAAGCTACAGCTAATCATCAATGTCTTCAGAGAAAGCTGGGGAGGATAAACTTGACCAGGAAGTACAATTTAAATGGTTGTTGTAGCAATTAAAACAGCAGAGACTTACTCAGTCGTTTGAGGCTTATGTGGTTCATTGTAGATGCAGTAGTTATCCTCAGGGAAGAGCAGTATTGACACTTCAGTTGTCCCACAGAGCAGCAGGCCTTTCTGGGGGTGGGGGGGTCAGACTCGGGTCTGAAGTTATCCTGGAGAGGGAGAACTTGAGAAAATTAACCTTACTTTGACAAGGCAGGGTACAGCAGTCAATCTAAAAGTGTCCATAGTTTGTGCAGGATCCTGGTGGCAGGTGAGGCATGGGGCAGTCTTCCCAGCGGTTAGCATTACCACGGTTCAGGAGGAGTCATTGGTGTAATGTTTTACCTGTCTTCCTTGGAGACCTTAAAGTTTTCTTGTTGGAGGGGAGGGTGTGTGTGTGTGTGTGTGTGTGTGTGTGTGTGTCTGTTTATTGTGGGAAGTTTTGGTTGAAAAAATTTAAATGCCTTATTCATCAGGTCTCTGAGGAGTTTGAGATCCATTATCTATTAAGTGTACCTGGACCAGATAAACTTTGTTTCAAGTTACTTATTTCAAAGACTTAACTTTGAACACACACACACACACACACACACACACACACACGGCTAAATAAAGTTTATTTTTGTAGTTAATCATGACTGTAAATAACTGTAAGTATAGCTATCATATTAAATACAAGTATTGCTAATCATACTAAAGAATATGATTATTTGTGAATAACTGATAATTAACGTGCATGTTTTAATTATCTTTAACAGTTTTTAGTAAGTTAATACAATTTTTATAAGATTAAAATTTACATTTTTATTCCTATTAAGTTTGAGTTGAAGATTTAATTGGAGATCTCTAATATGAAAATAAACCATGAACCATAATATAGTAAACTTTTGTCAGAATATTATAGTGAACGATGGATGGCGATACAGACAGAGACCCACATTGGAGCACCGGACTGAGCCCCCCAAGGTCCAAATGAGGAGCAGAAGGACGAAGAAAATGAAAAAGGAAATAAGGACTGCGAGGGATGCTATCACCCACTGATACAAGGGGACGGATCTAATGAGAGTTTACCAAGGCCAGTTGGACTGCGACTGACCGAGGACGTGATCCAACCAGATTCTCTGAATGTGGCCGGATTCTCTGAATGTGGCTGGCCAGGAGTCTTTCTGAAAAGCCATTGACAATGACACTGGGACTTGTTTCCTCTGCATATACTGGATTTTGGGGATCCAGTCTGTTTGGATACTCACCTTCCTGGACCTGGAGGGAGGGGGGAGGAACTTGAACTTCCCACAGGGCAGGAAACCCTGACTGCCCTTAGGGACAAAGAGGGAGGAGGAGAGGGAGTGGGGGGAGTGGGAGGGTGTTGGGAGGAGGGGCGGAAATGGAAACTTTTATAATTTAATAAAATTACTTTAAAAAAAAAGAGAATATTATAGTGAAGGAAGTGTCAGGACAGGAAAGGGTTAAGGTGAAAAAGTGGCAGCTGCCAGGACCTTGATTGAGGGAGGTGTTATCAGGTTAGAATAATCTATTTCTATGACATTTTCTTGAGGTTTGGGGGAAGCAGAGGACATAACTCTGTTCCGAGCATGTTGTACTCAACTGAAAGCAGTCAGTTGCATTTGCCTGCAAATGATTTTGTGTATGTATATGACTGGGCCATAACTGAAAGTATAGGTATTTATATAGGCATGTGTGTGCGTGTGTGTGTGTGTGTGTGTGTGTGTGTATGCAGGCAAAATAAAAAAAATTATGACTTCTAGTCACCAAGTGAAACTACTGCTGGTTAGCATAAGACTTTAAATGCAAATTTATTCAAATAGCAAGCGCTCTTCTCTAGCTTCTTCTGTAATAAAGTCACACTAACACTCAGAAAAATGCCAAAACTGTCCTAGAAAACAAAGTGTTGGCTAAGAGTGTTGCTGTTCCAGCTGCAGAACTTTCCGCTGCAAACTAAAGTAGGTCAGTTGTTTATTTTTTGGGTGTGTGTGTGTGTGTATGTGTGTTTTTTCCACAGGAAATACCAACCACAAAGATCTCCTTAGAAACAGACTTTTGTAATTACGGTGTGTAATTAGGTGGCAGGTATGCCACCTGTGGGTTAATGGGGCAATAACACTCGCCTGAAGTCTGTGGGGATAGAAAGTATTAAAATTCTTTTTCCACCGGTTGTAGTGGCTCAGACGTTTAAACCCAGTACTGAAGGGGAGGCAGGAAGAGCTGCTTAGTGAGTCTCATGCTGGGTCATTGCAATAAGGTCTTTTCTCAAACATAAGCGAACAAAGAAAACCACACACATGCACACACAAAACCAAAAGTTGTCTTTTCCAAGCTAATAACGGTGTCTATTTTATTTGATTTTTTTAGAGTAATATAGATCACATAATGTTGTGTTATCGAAAGCAAAGGGCTGTAGATGAGAACAAGGCAGCTGTGGGAAGTCAAAATTCTGAGTTCCCCTTTTAGGAAGCAATGTGGTTCCCAAGGGAACCGTTCTGTCAGTCAGTTGCTAATGAGCGGTCATTCATGCTACCCTCTGTATTGCTTGCCAGGAGAGCCACACATAAAAGTGGAAGTGTGAAACTCAAGTGCATGACATAGGCTTGGCAACAGCAAAGGAAAGCAGAAAGCTGCATCTCCAGAATTAAAAGTATAAGCTGGAGTAGCTGCTTGCCTGGTGTTATACACATGGTTGTGGCTTAGGGTTGGGGTTAAGGTTAGAGAGTTTCTAGAAAACACAGAAAGTCCCAAGCTAGCAGCCAAGAGGCTTTGGCTTTGTAATTCTGGTTGGTAGGTATGCTAAACACTAGAATATTATTAGGCCTATAACACTTTGCTGAAGTCTGTGGGGATAGACAGTGTTAAAATTTTCTTTTCGCCAGGCATAGTTAACCCTAGCACTACAGTTAACCCTAGCACTCTATAGCAGAGGCAGGCAGATCTCTGTAAATTGGAAGATAGAAATTTATATAAACAAATTTCTGTCATTTATTATTAAGTATTTATGGTGGATACACAAAATGCATGCATGCAAATAATCTCTAAAACTTTAGATCTGCATATTACCTCGGAGATGGCAAAATGGAAAATGACATCTTAAAAGTACATCTAATAAAATAAATTTATTAAATACATTTTAATAAATACATTTGATTTTAGACATTCACATTTTAGACTGACACATAAAGAGAGAGCGAAAGCATTGCTATATGCTGTTAGAGCCCTGTTGCGTTTTACTTTTACTTATTCGTAGTTCTGTGTGGGCATGTGCCCTTGAGTGCAGTGACTGCGGAGACTAGAAGAAGTGCATGTCGTCCACACACATTCAGCCCAAGGTGCCTGGACCTTGGCAGAAGCCATTGTTCCAACTCTCAGTTCCAGGTCTGAGACCCTTGTCTATGAAGCTCGGTAGCTCCCCGTTGCTGTCTATCCTTCAGCCTCCCCTTCCTGCTCTCTTGTCTTCTTTCTTCTGTCTTCCTTATTCTTCCGACCTTGGTCCTCGCAAACGGTTCGACTGTCTTCCTTTAACTGTCGAGCCCGAACTGCCCGGATGCTTTCAAAGCGTCGGGTACTGACTTACGTTCCTGCTTCTGCCACTGTGCCTCTACCATCCACCTCCAATCACCGAGATGTGCTCAGGGCACGCGTGTCAGGGTTCGCTAGACTGGGGGGAACCTCTGAGCAGGGATGTGAGGGATCGTCTCGGCAACGCTAATAGATGATGGAAGACCCATCTTTATAAGGGTAGGACCCATTCCTGGATGAGGATGGGGGGGGGGTGGTGAGAGCGAGAGCGAGAGAGAGAGAGAGAGAGACAGAGACAGAGACAGAGACAGAGACAGAGACAGACAGAGACAGAGACAGGCAGGCAGAGGAGGACAGACAGACAGACACACAGTGGGGGGAGGAGGGACGGAGGGAGAGCGCTGAGTGTGTACACTTCTTTTTCCTGACAGATTGTAATGTTACCAACAACTTCAAGCTCCGGCTGCCTTGACATCCCCACTTTGATTGACTGTGCCTTCAAGTGTGACCAAAATAAAACCTGTCTTTCCTTTTGTCGGGATATCTTGTCAAAGCAACGAAAACCAAAACTAAGACAACAACCCCATACTATCTCTGAAACACTCATGAATATTGAATTTTGTTCACAGAACCTTCCGTCTTAAAACTTCAAAGGCAGTTAACTTTCCTAACATCTTGCCCCAGTCTGTTTCAGGGTATATCAAGATGGGTGGAAATCCGAAAGCGGTGGAAGGGGGGGGGGGGGGGAAGGGGGGGAGGGAGATGGTGTGTGGAGGAGGAGAGATAGGGTGCTAGGGCGCTCGCCCTTTGCTGGTGGACTCCTTGAAAGAGGTGTGGCATACTGGGGAGGTCTTGTGCTCAGGAGAAACGAGGGAGGATCCGCAAGAACCAACAGTGTCTGGAAAATGCGTAAGGAATAGAAGTTTATGAACCGGGCGAAGAGGATGAGATTGAAGAGAGGGAGAGTGGGTGCTTTGCTAGAATCCCCAGTTCTCTGTCACATTTCGGACAGAAACCGTCAGGCCACTTACGTCATCAAAATGAAACTTCAACTATCGAGTTGGAGGCGGTGGTTACCGCCGGTTCTGGTGGCGCAGGCCGGTAGGATTTGCTGAAGGAGGCAGAGGCAGGTGGATCTGGAGTTCGAGGACAGCCTGGTCTACACATTTTTTTCCCCTATAATTAAATCTACGGCTACACAACACTCACAACCAATCAATCCCTCGAACATAGGACCGTTTTACATGCTTCTTACACCCGATCTTTTCGCCTACCCGCGTCTCCACCCAAGTCAACCCGCACCAGCTCCTCCAGACGCACAGGAGTCCGCCCCACACCGCCGCTCTCAAGTCCTTGCTCACGCACACGCCTGTCCACGCCCGCACCCCGCACCCCTCTCCGGACACGCTCCCCTCCCGACAGATCGGCCCCTCAGCCCGCTCGACCCTCCGGTTCCTTTTCTCTAGTCCTGCAGGGCGAAACGACGAGTCAGCAGCCACCGCTCTGAGCAGAAATATTGGCAAAAAAGAGTCTGCTTTTATTTTTTGTTTTGTTTGTTTTTTAAATCTCGAGTCTTTAGTTTTCTGCACGACCTGAGAAAACGAAGATTCTTTGGAACTGAAAAGGAAAAGACGCCCTGTGGAGGCGTGGTTGCGCAATGACTGCTGACTACTTGTAGGAAAGAATGCAAGTCGCTCGCGGGCTGGAGAGATGGCTCAGCCGTTAAAGGCTAGGCTCACAACCAAAAATATAAGAGTTCGGTTCCCAGCACCCACGGCTGTCTCTCCAGCCACCTTTTTTGTCCTACACCACGGACACGGACGGCACATACAAAAACAATCTGAAGAAGGAAATAAAAGAAAGAAAGCTTAAAAAAAATAGAAAATAAGTAAAAAGATAAATGAAGAAAACCCTATGTCTTGTCTTTAAAACTCTATCTCTCATTTCATTTGAAACGGCCAGCTCACCAATGTAGCTGCCCCGAAATCCTCAGTCTTTCAGTTAACCGGTTTGAAAGCTTCTAACCAGCACCACCCGCAGCGCTCACACTAAAGACCCTGAGCCGCACTCTCCCGCTGCTCTGCGCCCTCTCGCTTCTGCCTGGCGTTCTTGACATCAACTTCAGTTCGCAGTGTGGGGCTCACGGTGAACACCCCACACACCCTCCGCTCCCCACCCTGCCCAGATCTGTGTTCTGTGACTGCTCTGTACACTTAGCACGGTGACCTCGTTCATCTTCACTGGACCGGGATCCTTTTCTTCTATCCCCACCCCCTTTGCTGCTGGTGGTGACTCCAAATCTCCTCCCTTCCCAACTCCTATTTCTCCTCCTCTTACCCCTTCTCTCCTTTTAAAAAACATTTTGGGCATCTGTGGCCTTCCCTCAAGCCACCAAGACCTAAGAACTAACTCCCAAGAGTTTTCTCGTTCTTCTGGACTCCTGTGCTCAGCTGTCTCCAGCTATTCACCAGGTTTCCCAGAGAGTTCTCCCTTCCCTAGACGTCTGTAGCGATCCCACCACAAGCAGGTTGAAGGGTCAACTCTTCTTGTCCATGGCAGCCATCGTGCTTTCTGCTCACTGACCAGTATCTCCCGTGTGTCAAGTCTGACTCTTGCGCTGCAGCTCTGGTTTCCCCCGAGTTGTTCAACCCCGCAACGGCACGCATTCCTAAGGTCTGTCAAAGGTGGTGTGTGGTGCAGGCTACCAGCAGGACCTGGCAGAAGTGTTCCTGCTAAGTGGAGGGGGGGCGGGGGGGGTTAAGGGGAGGGTGAGGACGAGCTATAAATGGCAGTGGTTCCTTTGGCCATGGATTTCTAGGCCTTTCCCAGTGTGGGCGAATGAAACTAAACAGCCCTTCCATCCAAGGCTGAAGAATTTCTGGGCCTATGCATACATTATTTACAAGGTAGTTAACCAACCGTTCCTAGGAACAAGCAAATTTGCCTGCTGCTTTGGCCCCTGGGCTGTTAGGAATGCCGTTGCCATCAGCATGAGTGATTGAGTATGCACCTGTTTAGGACCCCGAATTCACATTCACGTCCATTGGTGCATGTGCCCCATAAGAGTTACAAATGCAGAATTTTGGGGATGCCACTGTCCTGCTGTAACTTCAAAAAGTTGGACATTCTGTGTCAACACTCAGGATGCTGAAGCATGGGGCTTGGTGGGATTCCTTGCTGGCTCCTCTCTTGGCTCTAGATTCCCGTTTCACCTTCTCACACATGCTTATTCCCTTGGGATGCTGTTTTCTTGAGCCCCACATCAGGCACTAAATCCATGAAGTCACCTACTCTTGGGTTAGTGTTGTGGGGAAGGCTGCTTGTTGGTTCCCAGCTACTCAACCCTGCCTGAAATAATCACACAGAAACTGTATTATTTAAATCACTACTTGGCCCATTAGTTCTAGCTTCTTATTTGCTAACTCTTTTTTTTTAATTTTTTGGAATAAAGTTATAATTCAACAATAATTCTTTTTTTTTCCGTTAGACTTGTTTATTCAAGTATCCGAAAACACTCTTTCCACTTCCTCCCCTCCTCCCAATACCCTCCCGCTCCCCCCACTCCCTCTCCTCCTCCCTCACCATTCCCAAGAGCAGTCAGGGTTTCCTGTTCTGTGGGAAACCCAAGTTCCTCCCACCTCCCTCCAGGTCCAGGAAGGTGAGCATTCAAACAGGCCAGGATCCCAAAAATCCAGTCCATGCAGACTAAACAAGACCCAGTGCCATTGTCAATGGCTTCTCAGTCAGCCCCCATGTCAGCCACATTCAGAGAATCCGGTTTGATCACATGCTCATTCAATCCCAGTCCAGCTGGCCTTGGTGAGCTCTCATTCAATCAGTCCCCTTGTATCAGTGGGTGAATGCACCCTTTGCGGTCCTGACTTCCAGTGCTCCAATGTGGGTCTCCATCTCTATTTCCATCCATCGTCGGATGAAGGCCCCCTCTGATTTTGCTTTCCTTGCTCACGATCTCCCTCCCTCTGCTTCTCATTTGGACCTAGGGAGTTAAGTCCAGTGTTCCAATGTGGGTCTCTGTCTCTATCTCCATCCATTGCCATATGAAGGTTCTGTGGTGACATGCAAAATATTCATCAGTATGGTTATGGGCCAAGGCCAGTTCAGGCACCCTCTCCTCTGCTGCCCAGAGTACAATCTAAAGACATCAACATTAATCTATCCACTCTGAACCTGATAGAAGAGAAAGTGGGAAGTAGTCTACAAGATATAGGCACAGGAGGCCACTTCCTAAGTAGAATCCCAGTAGCACAGACAATAAGAGAATCAATGAATAAATGGGACCGACTGAAACTGAGAAGCTTCTGTAAAGCAAAAGACACTGCCAGTAAGACAAAAAGGCTACCTTCGAACTGGGAGAAGATCTTCACCAACCCCTCATCAGACAAAGGTCTGATCTCCAAAATATACAAAGAACTCAAGAAACTAGACACTAAATCTCTAATTAACCCAATTAAAAAATGGGGTACTGAACTGAACAGAGAATTCACAACAGATGAACTTCGAATGGCCAGAAGACACTTAAGGACATGCTCAACCTCCTTAGCGATCAGGGAAATGTAAAACAAAACCACTTTGAGATACCATCTTACACCTGTCAGAATAGCTAAACTCAAAAACACCAATGATAGCCTATGCTGGAGAGGATGTGGAGTGAGGGGAACACTCATCCATTGTTGGTGGGAATGCAAACTTGTACAGCCGCTGTGGAAATCAGTGTGGCAGTTTCTCAGGAAACTGGGAGTCAACCTCCCTCAGGACCCAGCAATTCTACTCTTGGGAATATACCCAAGAGATGCCCTATCATACTACAAGAGTATTTGTTCAACTATGTTCATAACTGCACTATTTGTAATAGCCAGAACATGGAAACAACCTAGGTGCCCCTCAATAGAAGAATGGTTAAAAAAAGGTGTGGAACATATACACATTAGAGTTTTACTCAGCGGTAAAAAACAATGACATCTTGAATTTTGCATGCAAATGGATGGACATAGAAAACGCTTTACTGAGTGAGGCAACCCAGACCCAAAAAGAGGAATATGGTATGTACTCACTCATAAGTGGATTCTAACCATAGTTAAAGGTCTTTGAGTCTATAATTTGTGATCCTAGAGAAGCTAAATATGAAGGTGAACCTGAAGAAAATCATATAGTTATCCTCCTGAATATTAGAAGTAGGCAAGATTGCCAGGCAAACTTGGGTGCATGGGGGGGTGGAGGGATGGAAGTAAGG